AACCCTGAGTTCCACCATCCCTAGCACTCCATGAACCCTTCATGAGTTGCCTGTGCATCAGCCATTTCCCTCTCTCTTGATGTGATGCCCAACTAAATGATTGCACTGGTTTTCTCCCACCTTTTCCCAGGAAATAAAGTCCTTCCACAGCCTTTTTTTGTACCTCCCACTGCTGGCATGGGCATTGCTGCTCTGGGCCCCCCACACCCAAAAGGGTTGCTGTCCAAGAAGACTGCAGTCCCAGGTGTTAGGTTCAGACTGCCTGGGTTTTTTTTGATCAGGGTAGTTTGCAGTGACAGATATTCTGATCCGTCCCTGTATAAATCTCTTCTGAAAACCTGTCAGGGCACGTAAAAAAGAGTGATGGAGCCCCTTCTCTCATTGTGCTGACACTACAGTAGGCTGCTGTGAACCAGCACGCTGATAGGGTGCTGTGCATTCACGGGCAGGTTCTTTTCCCCCTAGCAGAGCCCAGCTCAGTTTAAATCCCCTTAGTATCCTGAACCCCCAAAGCCTGAGAGAAAGTTACACTACCTTTCAAGACCTGAGCAATATATTGCAGTGGTTTTTTGGGTTTTTTACTGACAACCTTTTGTCAAATTCCCCCCAAATGCTTGACTCAATCAGTTTGTGATAGGATTTTGCTCACATTTCCATGTCTCTCACTGCAAGAGATTTCTGTTCATTTGGATGTAGGAAAGGTTTATTCACATGCAGACAGGCACTTTCACCCTGACCCAATTACCTAAGGGAGTGCTGCTCTTGTGGGCTTGGAATACAAGGTGGTAAGAATTAGAGCAAGCCCACGGAGTGAGAGAGCCTGTGATTTCAAACCAGCATTAGCAGCAATGAGGAAGATATTTATGAGGTACCCAGAGGTCATGGTGATGGGCACAGTATACAAACTAAGCTCGACAGGCCAAAAGGAATCGGAAAGGAAGAGTCAAGCACCGTTACTCTCTCAAGAGGCTACTGCATGTCCTGGGGTATTTGAGCTGGTTCCTAAAGCACTGGCTGCTAGATGTAACTAGTTTTGTGAGAATCTCACTGGGGTGGAAACAAGAACCCTTAAAAAAAACCCCAGAGGCAAATGAAAAGACCCTCCAATGTATTTTGAAGTGCTGTGATTTGTCAACCAGTCTCATGTCTTGGGGAGGGGGAAGGGCAGGCCCGGGATATCTGGACCCTCCGAGTTGGCAGGATTGTGGCAGAAAGTTTATCTGCTTGAGACACGTCACTGCATTCTCTAGGAATGAAACATGCAGGGAAGCTTCTCCCCAAAGCACGTGCATGAATACCTGCTCAGATCCCTCACCATTTATCCAAGCGCTTCTTCTGCTTACTTAGGAAACAGCAACACACCGGCTGACTGGCCAGCCTCACAGCTCCAATACCGAATAGTGCCCATGAGCAGCTTGGGAGTACTCCGTTAGACCTACAGAGACAAGCAGGCTGTGCAATGATGGCAGTGGCAGCACCCTCCAGCAGGCTGGGCTGCCCTACCCATGCTGCTTTTCAATAGGAAGCAGTGTAGCCACCTCCCCGCAATACTTGGGGCTGACTGGTTATTAGCACTGCTGAGTGACTCTGCTAATCAGCATGTCCCCAAGCTAATTAGTCCCCTGCATAGCTGCCCAGATGTGGCTATGTTGCTTGTGGTATGGATGGTATCCCGCCTGCAGCAGCTCTGTGTGCTCTTGAGCACTTCTGTTGCGGGGGGTAAGCTTAATATATTGATTTAGCCTTACACACACATGAGGTATGCATATACCGTCGAATCCTGAACACAAGCACAATCCTATACTTACATGCATCATCATATCCATTTACACATGCAGGCCTGCAGAAAACTGCTCTCACACACACTGGCACTGTGCCTACATAGATGGAGAGAAACTACCACAGAAATTGTACGCAGATAGATCGTCACATGTGTGCAATCTCCCAGACATGTAGCCACACCTTGATAACACAGTCACGCATGCAAATACAATCACACACACACACATCCAGAAAAACACAAGCAGCTGTGAGCACTGACACACATTTAAAACCATGCACATAATCTCATTTGCATTCATGTACAGTACACACACTGCTCCTGGATGTTTGTGCTCTTCAGTCTCTGGGCTTGGCCTGATGTAGCTGGTGCTTCTCCCACATCTATCACATTCCATGGCTTTACCCATACCCCTTCAGTGAGGTTTCAGATGCTTCTTTGCAGGTTTCAATCAGTCCAGGCATGTCAGACAAGTAAATACTGTGGAGGTGCCTACAAATTACACCATCTGGCTGCCTTGGTGAGCCAGACAAGAGGCAGACTGCAGGGGGAGGAAGAATCCAGGGCTTAGGAAGTGAGAGATGAAAAATCAGTTGGATGTAAAGGAGAAAAATAAAGCCTCGTGCGTATGAATGCATTGCTTTTGAATATATCAGATCCCATGCACCCAGTCTTGGGTCCAAGATCACTGAGTGATGTATTTGGTGCAAAATTAAAACAATCTTTATCTATCTACAATTGTAGTGGGGCTCCTTGGGTGAAAAATGGTCTTGAGAATAAGAACATAACTTGTTGCTTCACATGAACTGAGGCAGATATTTCAGTGGACAGGTGAAAAGCAATAGAGCCTTTTCTTTCCAGCACAGTTTGAGATTAGTCAATGTAAAGGTGTTAACACAGCTGTGCATGAGCCTGTGTGAACTAATCTTCATGGCCTAAGCTGAGATCCTAGTTGATAGATGTGCAGATCAAAAGGTGGCTGGGACTTTTTATTTTCCTGCAAAATATTTCAAGTTTTCAAAAAAAAAAAATCCTCAAATCAATGTTGATGACATTGAGGGGAATGGGAGGGAATTGGCTGGGAAAAACAGAGCCAAAATTCAATCCAGCAGGTTGAGGTTTAGGTTTCCAGTTTCCCAAAACAAAAATAATCAAAAACTATCAAGAAACAAGGCAGAATTTGCAAAAACATGCATTTAAAAAAACAATTGTTCACTGAAGTTTAACTGGAAAAATAACTGGTTGCCCTTACCACTGCCAAGTTCATCCCGGAGCTGAAGAACTGAACGGACCATTGAGACTAAACCATTTTTTTAATCCCAGATGCGATTCATCCCATCTAATCACAGCTGAGAGACATTCAGAGAGTGATACAAGGCAACCTTGCATCTGCAATGATGTATTAGCATGATGCCTACGGTACCTGTTGTAGGAATAAACAGAAGACGTTAGTCCCCTGGGATGTCAATCCAGCACCTTCCAGCAGCACAGGACACCTAGCAGGAAAAAACATTGAGAAGGAATAAAAGCATTTATTTGTTGAAGGGGAAGCATGTTTTTGTTGACTCAACCTTCATTAAATGGCTCTCATTATTGCCACAGTGTGAGCTGTTGGCACAAAAAACTCAGCACTGCCACTAAAACCTAATGCCATCTGGAAACGAAAGGGAGGTGGGGAAGCAGAGCTGAGGGCAGGCAAAAGGCATGAGTGTGTATTTACCTCTCCGCACACCCCATCCCGGCAGAGCCTGCCTTGATCTGAAACAGCAGAAAGAGAAGCTGTGCTGGAAGGCACTGGGAGCCCTGTGGCTGAGCTATAAATCTCACTCAGTCAGAGGGGAAGATTTATGCTCATGGCTTGGAAATGATGCCTGTGGCATTCACATGCACAATGTGTGTGTCTGTCAGCACACATGCGCGCACACACATATTTCTACCCCATAACCACACAGACTCTCTCAGACCTGAGACCTGGGAAAGGTGCACCCCAGGAAGAGCTGAATAGCGTCCTTAACTTTCCAGCAGTGCAAGGAAACAAACGGAGGGCTTTGTGTATTAAAGGTGTCCCCAATTTGCATTTTGATTGGCTAACGGGCTATGCAAATTCCACCGTAAAGTATTGATCTGTCAAAGACATCTGACAGTTTTCAACAATTGCTGAAATAGCTTTAAAACAGACCTGGGAGAGCTGGGGGAAAAAAATGCCTGATGAGTGAGTCCTTTCATCTGCTAAAAGCTCTCCAAGCCCATAAGCCTGGGGGTGACTTTAAATAGAGTCAATGAAGAAATATCTTCCAGACAGGGGAATGATGAGGCCCTCCAATAGTTTCCCCTTCTCTCTTTCATTCTCAGAGTCTCTTTCTCTCTCATAGTCACGTTCAGTCTTTTTCTCTCTCCCTACATTCAAAGCCCAATCCTGCGAGGCACTGAATGACTTCTATTCCCGTTAATACCAAAAGGCCCCTTGGCACCTCTCAGGATTGAGCTTTTGGCTGCTCCTGCAAGTGATAGGGTCTCCTTTGCATTGTTGGCTTTCAGAGCTGTTTTTCGTGACAGTCCCCATGGGCAAGAGGCAGCCAATTTGGGAGCTTCTGCAAGGATCCAGGGCGGGGCATCATTTATTCTTGGACAGTCCGTGACAGAGGTTCTTCCGCCAGACTCTGACAGGGCTTGGCATGCTTCTTAATGGCATCTTCGGGGTTGGCACCAGACTGCCCTCATATACTTGCTGAAGGTGCAAAATGAAGCAGGTGCTTGTGTCCCAGCACAGAATCGCCTGTTGCCAAAACAGTGCAGTCCCTGGGGACAGGCCTTTCTGGAATCATTCACAACTATTAGGGGAGTATAGAAAAGCTGAAAGCCACCCAACAGAGGCCCAGTTGGAACAGGTTTTTTTCCTTCCACAAGCATTTTAAGTTTGAAAAATGTACTTAATCATGGCAGAAAGTCTGAGTTTTGAAAACGGCCTGAAAAAGGGAAAAAAAATAGAAGTTGCTTTTCTTTTACACATGATACAACCTAAGTCCTTTCCAGCAGGAAAAGCAGAAATTTTCATTTTGATTTTGACCTTTCAAAGCAGTTTGACTTTTTCAATTATTTTCAAATGTTTTTTGAAGTTCAAAAATTCATTTAAACCCCCTCTTTCCCATCTAGATATTGACATGTGTTGATGCTTTTTTTTCCCATTTAAGAAAATTCATGACACGATCTTCCACATAACCTACTGCAGAACACTCAAGAAAAACTGTGGGGTCCAGCTAAAAGTGGTCTTAGCCCACCACTAAGCATGACTGAACTTGGTGCCCGAGATGTCAAGATTTCTCACACGCCTATTCACTCACTCCTTTGTATATAAAATGAGTCATCTAAGCTTAGGGTGTCTTTTTAAGTCTCACCTCACTGACCTCCCCGAAACCCTAGGGCCAGCTCTGTGCACAGTGACATAATAATGATGGATAGGAATCATTTGCATGTTGAGGGAGTGGGAGAGAAAAACATAATTTCTCAGGCCTGTCCCAAACTGCTAGGTCCAGCTCTGTACCAACCTGTCCCCTTTCCCACAGCAGCATGCAAAAACTCCACCAGATAGTACATTTTTCAATCTGCCCTCCAGCTTTGCTGAGACCAGAATGACAAGACTTTTTACTCCACAGGCAGTGAAACCTCCCAGCTTGTTTCCTCAGTCCAGAATAACCCTGTCTGTGACTACATAGGAGAACTAAAGTGCACCAAATCAGTGAGAATACACCAAATAAATAAATCAGCATGCTTGCACAGACCACACTCGCTATGTTATGAATGGTTGCTCTCTTGCATCTTTCCATCTCAGAGCTATTCTAAATTTCAGATGCAGTGCTTTCTGGTGACCTATCTCCTAGTTCCTGCCATAGGTCCCAGGATCAGCAGATTTGGGAAGATTTCAAAAAGCCGACCCAATGCCTTGGCTGAGATAGGAGGATGAGAAATGCAACGCATTGACACTAAACCAGTTCAGACTGGAGCTGGGCAGACTCAACCAATATTTAGCTCTATTCAACACACAAATGCCCTGTATTGGAGTGCTTTTCTGTGCATTGCAAGCTTGCTAGGGGAGACAAACTGATTGCAGCATGGTAAAATTCTTGAAAGCATGGCAGGCCTTCGTTAAGCACCTGGTTTCTCTCTGCACTATAACCCACATATTTGTGACCTCACTGACTGTTCAATTCCCAATCCACCTCCCTCTCATAGCCCAAATTGTACGCATCTTGTGTTCACCCTGCTATTTTCTGTGATGCTCACAGGCTCCTTCCTCCTGTGTCCTTGGCCCATTCTATAAGTGCATTAATGACAAGGTCACCTATTCAATCCTCTGCTGAGGACATCCCAAATTTATCCTACAGTGAGGAAAGTGTAGTCGGTATTTTAATACCACTTTCCCTCCTTCCCTCAGTATTTCCCAAGGAGGATTTCCCTTTGGCCTTAGCTAATCCAAAGAACCTGCTCAATGATTAGGCAGAGCTGCCTTGGAGCAAAGGTCAAGCTATTTCCTCCTTGTCTGGTTGCCTGTGACAGTTCTTGTTCAGTATTTAACAGCAAACATTTAGCTATTAATTTCTCATCTCAGCCGACTGATAGCGTGGGTGGGTGCCTGGCCTTTGGAGTGGGAGAAGTTTTCAGCTTTAGTTTAAATTTTATTTTTAATGGGTGCACGAGACTGGAGTAAGCTGGATTTCAGCAGGTCAAACTGTTGCATAACAGAAGACGATAAGGAGGAAGATGGAAGGGGAGGGCGACAGGGGATGTGACTTCGATGCACAGTTCAGTGATTATAACTGGACTGCTCTTTTCCCCTTGGTAACGGTCATTGGTAGCAATTTGTGCCAGGCTGCCTTGGGCCCTGAGAATCCACAAATCCATTCATTACGGCCCCCAGGAACACATCCCGCCAAGCTACCACTTTATAAACTGCATTTCAAATATGTAACGTGAGCACTGATTGCAAATCTGAAGACATTTCCATTTAGCCTGAGGCCAAGATTTTTAATTTAAAAAAAAAAATCCCCTGCCAGGGTCTGTGCACAGGCTCTTTAGATATTCTGACCAACACAGTTTATTTAAAAATTCAATAAGTCAATTTTCATGGCAGCAGGGAAAAGGAGCAATGTTGGTGTCTGAACTCTCCATAAGGAAGAGGAAACCAGGGTCATGCCCTGCTGTACCCACAAAATCCTACTGCCTTGTTTCAACTCTTACCATCCCCTAACCTCAACACTGATGGCCTGGTACTCATTAAAACTAAACTCAGAATAAAGGGAGCAAAAATGCTGTCCTCCCTCTCCAGCCCACTTTGAATATAACCCATGGTACAGTGAGCCCTGGCTAAAATAAAGGGGATGCAAGTGGTCTATACCAGACCAGCTTCTGGATCTCATAACAGGTGGCATGTTGGGTATGTGTCAGAGCAGAGAAAGAGCAAACCAGAGGCAAGTAGAGTAGGTGTCCAGAGTGCAGTGTGCTGCATCTATTATCTGCTTCCTAAGGATAGTTACGGGGTTTCATGGAAAGCCAAAGAAAAATTAGGCTCTTCTCACTTATTCTGGGATGAAGAATGTCTCTGACTTAAAGGCACACCACTGTCCCAATGTTCCTGTTTCCAGCGCAGAAAGTACCTGAGGATCAAAGCCTCTCACCATTGTTGCGCAATCCATCTGTTGAGTCGCAAAGCACTGCGGACAAGTCCTCTCTAGGTTTTCAGCTTGTCCCTTGGGTGGCATTAGAATGACTTAGTCCCAAGAGGCACCGAGTACTCCAGGGAACCAAATGGAGCCAAGGACACCCAGCAGAGTTGAATTAGGGAGAAGCTAGAAGGAAGAAGATTCCTTCTACTTGAGGTTATAGCGCAACAATCTTCTTATGAAGATGAGGAAAACCCACCCTTGCTCCCTGTGTCCTGCACCTAGGGCTTAAGCCCATCTGCAAGTAGGCTGAAGGCCTCTCAGATCCTGCTGCTAACCGAATCATTAAAACAAACACAGTACTTATGTGAACCTTTCCAGTCTAGAGATAAGGTGGGGTTTTAATTAAGGTAATTATACTCAGCTGGAAAGGCTATTTGCAAAGACGTTTAAAGTCTCAGGGAAGGCTCTGTGCTGACAAGTGAGCTTTAGAGAAGGTGCTGTTTCTAAAGCCTGAATCAAATGAAAGCCAGAGCCCCTGGGGCCCCTCCTTTAGTATTTTACTGCAGGCCCTCTCTCTATTCCTGCATGGTCTGCAAGAGCATCTGTGGCTGTTTTACGGTAATTGCTGCTGCGCTTCTTCCCCTTCTAGGAGTTTCACCATTGTACCTTATGCAGATAGGTCCTTGGATGTATGACCTCCTGCTAAAGGGGTGTCTAGGGTGGGGCGAGAGAAGAATACAGCTTCCCATTCCATGAGTTGTCAAGGTGTCCAAATGTTTCTCCTCCAAAATAGGTTAGAAAGGCCACCCCTCTCAAAACCTTCACGAACCAATGCTTTTTATTATTTTTTCTTTTAAAAAGTCAGGTCAATTGAAATATTTTAATTTTGACTTTTTTATTTTGAAAGCCTTTTCCCTCTTAGTATAAATTATTGAACAATCCTAAATGAAAAAGTCACATACATAAAACAAACAACTCCCCCCCCCGAGTTCTACACTTTCAAAAATGTTGATTTTGAATTTTACACACACACACACACACACACACACACACACACTTTAATTGTCAGGTTCATTCAAACAGGTTTTTTATTATTGGGAAATATCAATATATTTAAAAAAAAAAATTAAGTGTTTCCTTAGAGAATTTTCAACCAGTTCTGGGGACTTCCCTCTTGGGCCCTTCCTCCTCTTTCAAACAACAGTTGGTAACATCCCTCTTCTATTTATATCCCTGCTGTCCCCTTCTTTGGTACCCTCCCTCCAGACCTTTCTAACAGCTTCAATGAATTCAATGAGCTTGAGTTTCAAAGGCACTGGTGCTCCTGTCCCTTGCCTGTGGTTCCCCTTGTTGAATGTCTTCCAGGTAGGGGCAAAACTTCCCCTGATTACTAGGGACAACCTGTCCTTTGCTTCTGCTTTTAATATCAGCCTTCATATGATGTTGTTCCAATGACGGCTGCTTATTTATGGCTATTGCTGTGACGATTCTGTAATTGTTGGAGCAGCGCCTCAAGCCCATCAACAGAGGAGCAGGCAGTACTTTATAAACATTATTATTGTTTATTTACTCGACATAAAAATACCAGTGACAATGGTGTTATTTCCAAGGAACCCTGGGGAGGGAAGATTGATTCCATCCCCCTATAGAGGGGCAAGCCTCTGAGCCTGTTTGCTCTTCTCTCTGCTCGGAGTATCTTGTCTTGCAGGGCTGGGAAAGGGAAATTTAATTAGAATAGTATTCAGAAGGTTTTTATATTTTTTCTACCAATTAGTGTTTCATTAAGGCAGTTAAATTGCATTTGCTAGAGACAGACACAACCCTTTAAAGAGTATTATTTTAAGATTTCATTTCTTTTTTGCCTGTTGTGAATTGAAAATTAAATCAGGTGTTGATTGATTAATTATTAATTCATCACTGATTATTAGGCTCGTTGTATTTGAGTGGGGTTGCTAGGGGAAGAAAAAATGTCAGAGCTGGTTACCAGGCAAGAGGCAAGGGCTGGGGCTGTCATCACTGGTTGAGGGTGCCAAGGTCACGGACCAGCCAAGAGACACCATCAGAGGAACCATAGTCACTAACTGAAAGACAGTGAGTTTGAGCAGACTGCTGCTCCTTCCCTACAAGTCTTTTATATGGCTGAGCAGCTTCCAGTGTGGTATGGGCCAATAGAGACAAATGGAGATCAGCTCAGCTAATCAAGCCATAGGTGCATGGGGATAAGTCATCCTACCTCAAGCAAAGGTGAATCCCCCTATCTGGTGAGCCCTGGTTTACAGTATAAAGTGAGTTGTCACATTAAGTGCCAAGGACACATCTTCTTTCTTTGGGCATCTTTGTAAGAGGCACCTGCTGTTGGGTGATGACAGAAATTGGTGACGTCTCTGGACTAGCCCAGCTGTTCAACTGGTACTACTCTCCCCAAAATCTCTATGTCCCCTCATAACCACACACCTGAGAGAGAGGAAAGTGGTTCCTTTGCAACACACTGGTACTCCCAACCTAGACTATGAAGTAGGAAAGAGATGCAGGTATAGGACTTCTGAGATGGGGTTATTCTCCTAGCTCTACTATGGACTGCCTAGGTGTTTCTGGGCATGCTGCATTTTCCTGTTCCTCAGTTTCCTCTCTCTAAAGTGTAGTAATGTGCCACCCTTTTCCTGCCTTGCCTATGTATTAGTTTGTAAGCTCTTCATGGTAGGAACTGTCTTACAATGCATGGGTGGAAAGCCTAGCATGGTGGAGCCCCAAGCTGCAACTGTATTATAAGTAATAATGTGCACAGCTTCCTCCCCATGGGCTTCTGGTTATGGTCCCTGGTACCATTTGCACAGACTCTGGGGGACCCCCATGTACTCCACAGCTCAGTGTGTCTGTATAACTGTGAGATTATCATCACCCTTGGTGGCTGAGCTCCCCCGGGTTCTGGGCTCCCGTACATCATCTCAGCCGCCTCGTAAAAGAGGGTTAAACTCAGTCTTTATTTGCTGCTTGTTTTTTGCTATTAAGTCTCCTCTCTGTCCCCCCTGCTCCCAGTGCTGCTTTGTCTCTCCCTTCATTGCTCTCAAGGTCACCATTGATCAGCTTCCAAGTGCTTTACAGCTGCAGCCTTGGACGGGCAGAAAGAGAAATTGATTGCAGTCAATTCAGCACCAGATTGAACTGTATTGACTTGTCTCCTATTCATGCAGACGTGGGGCTTTGCTACCTTTTAATTACCATGGCTATCCTCCTCTTCATCAATGGGACAGCGAGGAGGGAACACTTGGCCTTGCTTCAATGGCCCTAGGTTGCTCAAGTTGGTAGAGACATTGTAATGTTTTCCCGGAGTGCACATCCCAGCAGTGCACTGGATACGGCTGTTGCTGAATCTTCGATCTCCTCTTTGTATCTGGTGACTGAAGGGTACAGAGCTTCCCTGAAGACCCAGTGACAACTGGAGTTGTGTTAGTCTGCATGGTGGGATCAGTCCATTTTTCAGGGGAATAACATCGCACCGTTGCAGAAGAAATGGAGGTCACAAGGGAATAAGGTCAGATGCAGCCACTGTGCTCTGTGCTAGCCTTATTGGGAAGCATAAGTAGAGGGACCATAAGGCAGAAGTCACCCTGTCATGAGTATTTCTCTCTCTCTACCTTTGTCTGTGTACCTGGAGGAAGGACATGCTGCTGCAAGCTTTCTCAAATAGCTGAATGAGCCATTCTGCTGTTTAGCAGTGTTTGGGCCGAATTATGAAATCTCTGCTCAGGGAAGAAGGATGTGCTTTGCTGTTAAAGGCTTGTGACTGGGAAGTAGGAGAGAGTGGTCCAAATTCTCCTACGTGATCCCAGTGTAAATTTGGATTAACCCAAATAACGGTCGGGGAACTACTCTGGGATTTACACTTTGGATTTGGTTTGTGACTCTGGGTGAAGACTCACTGACTACACTAGCAAAGTTCCCCGCTGCTGGTATAAAAAGGGTGTGAGAAGAACAGATAGCTTTGAAGAACGAAGTACAGATGAGATTCCAGCACTATCAATGCTAGGAGTGAGAGAGGATTTAAAACTCTAGTAGGTGAATGGGTAAACCGATTTATTTATTTATTTATTTATGCTTAAATGAGAAACTAATTTTTTAAAGGTTGATGGGACAAAAACATAACATTTTCAAAAATGTTGATGAAAAAAGAAACCTTTCATTTTGGCTCAAAGGAAGCATTTCTTTTAACAAACATGAAATATTTCATTTCCATTTTGAAATATTCTAAATTCCTTAAAGGGAAAAGGATGTTTTGTAACAAAATATCATTTCAAATTAACAATTTGGCATCATTTTGATTTTTTGTTAATGTTTTTTTCTTTTCTTGCCTTTTCTTGTTCTCTAAATCTGCACTTCTTTCCTTAAATAAATACATAACAAATTTTTCTTCTACCTCTAGTTCCCAGGTCCATGTAGTAC